AGCTTTGTTTTATATAAAATGGGTCGACAATAAGGAAAATAAATTAATTAAAAAAAAGATAATTTAAAGGTACGACTAATTTTTGTTTTAACAAAAGTGTTAAATATAGTCTTTCTATATTTAATATATTATGTACATATTATTATATTGTGTATATTCTAGTTACCATACATGCCTAGGTTTCCTTGTATTGTATTTTTCCTAATATACCTAGGATTCTCCTAGTATATATTCCCTTGTAATATCACATTGTAAACCATTGGAAATAACAAATCTTTCATGGTATCGGAGCATTAAAAATTCCCGGCTCCCTTCTCAAACCTTCGGCCCTCTCTCTGCCGTCTCTCCCTTCGGCTCTCCCTCTCTCAGCCGTGATTTCTTCCCGGCACCACCATGGCCGAGGTTTCGTCTATCTCCTCTGACAATACATCTCCCCCCAAAACCCCCCATCTTGCTTTCACCACTGTTTCCAACATCAAATTACACATCCCCATTCAACTCAGCATATCCGAACCAAACTACAAAAAGTGGAGTAAACTTTTTCGTCTACTTGCACTTCGCTTCAATCTCATGGGATTTCTCGACGGCACCACTATTGCCGCCTCCTCCGACGACGTTGAATGGCTCCAGTTCGATGCCCTCCTTCAAGGGTGGATTCTCTCCACTATCACTGACGAGGTTTCAGATCTTGTTCTCGCCAACAGCCCCTCTGCTAATTCTTTCTGGACAGCGATCTACAAATTATTTCATGACAACAAACATGCTCGGGCGATGCAATTGGAGCATCGTTTTCGCACAACCGTCAAGGGCAACCGGACGATCAATGAATATTGTCATCTCCTCAAAAATCTTGCCGACTATCTCGATGATGTGGATGCTCCGGTGACCGAACATGCCTTGGTTTTACAGGTTCTTCAGGGGTTGCCGCAAGACATACGAGGCCAGGTCACTTTTCTTCAGTATCAGACTCCTTTTCCGACTTTTTTGGAGGTCCGTTCGGCCCTATTGCTCGTCGAACAACAACAAACCGACGCCACCCATGGCACCGGCTCATCGACGGCACTCCTTAGCACTGGCAGTGGCGGCGGGTCTCCAGCGGCGGGCGGAAAGCAGCGACAGGCAGGGGTCCTGGGCGCGGCTATGGTAGTCAATCTCGACCCTTCAACATTGGAAACCGCGGACGGGGACGTGGCCGTGGTCTAGCGGCTCGAATCAGCGACAACCCATTGGTCCGCAACCCTGGCAGT